GAGAGAAATATGTCAACCAGAGAGAGGGCAGACGGATCTTACGGGGCAAGAGAGAGACTGCGGTAAGACCTAAGGAAGGAGGACTTCGTAACAATATGGCAGACTCAGATCAACATTCCCAGCACAAGGATGAAGCGCGGTGAGAAGGCCAGCGTGGAGTTCCATGAACATTCATCTAAACAACATTTTTGTCCTAAAATAGTTCATTTGAAGTAAAGTAATATTTAATACCTTTGCTCTTCTCTTTTAAAATATTAGTTAAGATAAGCTAGCATTTTCCGGCTCCTCAACAGGTATATACTTATATCAATTCTGATGTGTTTAGAATAGTTTGAAACTTTTCTACAAATTCTGTCTTCCAGTCCGAGTAAGGCGGAGATGTTAAGTTTGCCAAGATCTACACCATCTGATTTCGAACCCCTCGGAAGTGGTGATGAGCGCGAGACGAGGTAGAAACTTTTGTCGGGTAACCTTTTGGAGCCAACATGTTTAGAGACAGGGCCTATTCATAGCATTTTGTGGAATATTCCATCATCAGTCCTTAAGTTGCTTTAAGCGGCCTTGTCGGAGCAGGCTCTAGTTGAAGAGTTGAGCTCGTTCATATGAGCAATTCTAAAAAGGTCAAGAAGGCGAAGAAAAATGCATCTTGGCGTTGTTCTCGCAAAGAAATGGCCTGCTTTGGGTGACAGGTTAGATGTGAATTTCAGGTGCAGCCAGGCATTTTCCCAAATCATACATTACACATATGTGATTTACTGATTGGCTCGAAGCTCGGCTTGCGCTCTAACTGGTCAGGCCCAGTCGGTTTGTAGCGAGGCCGGCTTTAGAGTCGCATCCGATGGCGTTCCCATGCCCAACAGGAAGTGTTGCCACGCCACGGGGGCGACTCGTTCGGGCCTCCCCCACAGATCGGCTCAGCTACAGGAATCAGCGAAAACTGGAATTTGGGTACCCGTCCAGGTTGTTCAGGCACTGCGTGGCATCTCTGGAGGCCACAACTGCTTCAGTTCAGTTTGTGGAATAGGCGGATTCAGCATACCAGATTGATACACTAGCAATGAGAAGAATCAGCAGACGAATAATATTAAACCCATTATATTCTTCACTGATCACTATTTTACGGGAATTTAG